TAAAACCTTAATAAAAATAGGTTGAATAAGGCTCATATATATTATAGAAAAATTAAACCATACGGATTTATTTAATCGTATTTTGCATTTAAGATAATAATTAAACATCAAATGCCAAGTTTAATACACCAAATTAATTTCTAATTAATTTATTTTCTAACTAGTTACTCGGCAGTATATCACAGAGAAAATGATTTAGCAATCCTATTAATTATAGGCACTTTAATTTCTTCATAAATATCGCCTCACCATAATAAAACTTGAAACCCTTTACATGTTTTTCTGTTTTTAAAAATCCTTTATAAGTGCTCTTTTACTTTAAGATTGGCTTTCCATCGGGATTTTACATATCCTAAAGCAGAAAACAATGAAATATAGTCTAAATACAAGCAAAAAGGGCAGTTGCAGATATTTTTGTATAAGTTATTTACAGATTTTCCTTATTAACTATGAGTGAATCTTATATCCATTTTCAAGTTTCAAATTTATTCATACCATTCTTCGCTTAAGTAATGATAATAGTAACATAATTATTTGAAACTGTTATAACAATTTTTTATGGTTAGTTGTTACCAATATATTTGCTTTAAAAGCGCAGCAAAATGTTTCTATTAATAATTCTAATAACTATATTCAAATTAAAGTTACTATTTTTTAAACTTAAATTTGGCTAAAAATTAAGATAGCAAAAATAATTTAAATAAGAGGCTCATGTGACTTCATGTGACTTTATTAAGTTTTGCCTCTCAGAAATAGCTAATTTCATACTTTTTTCTGAATTCTCGAGGATATAATAAAAGACTTAATTTAACCAAATATTATAAAACAGTTAACGTGAAATTTGCTTAATATTAATTTTATAAAGGAATAATGGTAACGGAATGACTTGTGTTTTAAACTTATATATGTAAATGAATTATGATAATTGAGCCTATAACTGAACATTTTACTTTCTGATCGCTTTAGCATTGCTAATAAAGGAAAAATGATATATTATTTAATGTATTTCATGA